CGTGGTTGATTCCACTACTAAAGCTTATCCCCACTGTTAAACAGTTATATATAAGTGTATGTCTCATAAAACTTCTGAACATTTGAAGATTATATTTTTTGTGTTAATTTAACACTAACATCTTATAATAATAATAATAATAATAACGATTCTAACGCTTGGTGTCAGTGTAGCTCAGTGTTTCTGTGACTGGCAGCACTTTACGTCACGAGCTGTTTGTGGATCGAGTCCTTGCATTTTGCAGAGCATACTTGAGCAAATAAGATCGCAATTGCCACCAAAGAGTGTGTTTAATATTCGACCGTTTTTGTAAAAGCAGACGTTGGATGTTGTGAAGAAAGATGGCGGATTAAGTTTCATTTATTTCAAGACGTAGTTAATGGACTGTTCTTTATCGCCCATACGAGCCATGGAACAAAGAGGACGCAAATCACGGACCCCGCGACAATTTTGGTTTGCCTTGATGGTTGTTTTGGATATTTTATGGAGAGGAGCTACAGCACAGATCAGATATTCAATATCTGAGGAGGTTCAAGATGGAACCGTGGTCGGGAATATAGCGAAGGATTTGGGGCTCGATAAGAGTGCACTCACAGACAGAGGATATCGCATTGTAACAGGCTCAACTGAGCCCCTGTTTCAAGTTAATCAAAATGATGGTATATTGTATGTTAAAAAAAGAATAGATAGGGAGGAGGTGTGCGACCGGACCAGCCCGTGTTTGATCAACCTCAAAACTGTGCTAGAAAACCCGCTGGAGATCCACTACGTGGCGGTGGAAATACTAGATATAAATGACCACTCGCCTGTTTTTACGGAGAAAGAGAAACGGCTTGAGATATTTGAGTCGGCTTTACCAGGGGCGAGATTTCAACTACAGGCTGCGCGTGACCCCGACGTTGGCCAGTTATCCATTCAGCAATATCGGCTGAGCCATAACGAGCATTTTATATTAGAAGTGAAGGATAGAGGCGAAGACCGTAAGGTACCATTTTTAGTCCTGCAGAAACAGCTAGATAGAGAAACAGCCGGGAAACACAAACTGCGTCTTACAGCAGTGGATGGAGGAAAACCTGCGAAATCTGGCGCTATAGAAATTACTGTGGATGTGCTTGATGTTAATGACAACTCCCCTGTGTTTACAAAAGAGTTGTATTCTGCAACTCTACAAGAAAGCGTTCCCGTTGACACTGTAGTCATTCAGTTAAATGCAACAGATCTGGACCAGAGTGCAAATAGCGAGATAATATATTCATTTGGTAACGAAGTTGATGCAAAATTAAAGGATATCTTTAAAATAGACGCAAACACTGGTGAAATTAAAGTCATCGGTAAAATAGACTTCGAGACAACTAAAAGTTATGATATTGACATTCAGGCGTCCGATAAAGGACAAGTTCCTCTAACAACTGACAAAAGTGTTATGATAACAGTTATTGATGTTAACGATAATGCACCTGAGATAGAAGTAACATCATTTTCTAGCTCTATCAAGGAGGATTCAAAGAAGGGAACTACTGTAGCCCTGATTAGTGTTCGGGATTTAGACTCTGGAATCAATGGAAAAGTCATTTGCACCATCAAAGAGGATGTTCCTTTTACTTTATCTCCATCGTTACAGGAAAACATGTACGCTGTTGTAACCAGGTGTCAACTGGATAGGGAAATGGTTGCCCACTTTGAATTTACAATTGTCGCTAAAGACACAGGTGATCCGTCCTTTTCAACTGAAAAGACCATGAGTGTCGTAGTATCAGATGTAAATGACAACAATCCAGAGTTTTTAACAAGCCCCTATGTATTTTATATCACCGAGAATAACAGTCCTGGAGCCTCAGTATTTTCAGTTAGAGCTTCTGATCGTGATGAAAGCGATAACGCTGTCATTTCATATCATATTCTCAGAGATGGCAGAGAAGCAAATAAATTGACCTCATTTCTAAATATCAACTCTGAAACTGGAGATATTTTGGCGCTAAAAAGCTTTGACTTTGAGACTCTGAAAACGTTCCAGTTCCAAGTTGTCGCCACAGATTCTGGAACTCCGTCACTAAGCAGCAACGTCACGGTGCACGTGTTCATTCTGGATCAGAACGACAACGCTCCAGTCATCCTGTATCCGGTCAGCTCTAACGGTTCTGCTGAAGGTGTGGAGGAGATTCCCCGCAATGTGAACGCAGGACACTTGGTGACTAAAGTCAGAGCCTATGACGCTGATATAGGATATAACGGCTGGTTACTGTTCTCACTGCAGGAAGTTACTGCCCACAGTCTCTTTGGTTTGGACCGCTATACAGGACAGATCAGAACACTTCGCTCATTCACAGAGACAGACGAGGCTGAGCATAAACTGCTCATCCTGGTGAAAGACAATGGCAACGTTTCCCTGTCAGCAACAGCTACTGTGGTTGTTAAACTTGTGGAGCCCAGAGAGGCTTTTGCTGCTGCTGATGTTAAAAGTGCAACAAAGGATGATGAGGATAATAATGTGACTTTTTACCTGATGATAACTTTGGGCTCAGTCTCAACACTTTTTCTCATCAGCATCATCGTGCTGATTGCAATGCAGTGCTCTAAGTCCACAGACTGTACTTCTAAATATCTACAAGAGACTAACTATGATGGGACACTGTGTCACAGCATCCAGTACAGATCTGGAGACAAGCGCTACATGTTAGTTGGACCCAGAATGAGTATAGGATCTACTATAGTCCCGGGCAGCCATGCCAACACACTGGTGCTCCCTGACAGGAGGGGGACATCTACAGAGGTAAGACGAATGCATATTCAAACTCCCTTACCTGTCATGTACTGTCATGGCAATATGAATACTTACATTTAAACAGGTTGATATCAAATCATTTTTGAATTTGGTCTTACATTAAAACTTTAACACTTTTATTTAAACAGGATCTGCCCTTGAGGTCTATGCATTATATCTGCCTGAAATCCCATGTTTTACATACTTCTTCTGTGTTGTTGGATAGTTGGTTGTGTACAGTTTATATTATTGCAGTTAGTCAAAGCGAAATCAGTTCCTACACCTCTGGGTGCAGAAAAAGGTGTTGCTGTCCGTGGTGCTGGAAGTATTTTACTATAGTTTTCCATTTCTTTTGGCATATAAATAAGGACTTCATTGCAGTTTACATTCATCAAAATAGTTTAAGAGACAGATGATTGTGACTCTAGTGTAGTAACTGTTAACTGCAAATACTTAGTGCTTCTTGACAGGAGGGGGGCATCTGCAGAAGTAAGACATATTTTAGATTAAACTGTGGTGACGAACTGTAACTGCTTTTTGACTAAACATATCAATGTGGTTTGTTTTCTGCATAATTTTATACTGTGTTTGTCATCATAGTTTACCTTGGTAATTATAACCATATGTCATGGAGGTAATTTAAATGTACTTGAAAAAGGAGATGCATTTTACTTTTAAATTATCGTAGTCACCTGATGGGCAATGATATGGACAATGATTGTGGCCTTTTGTTTTGTTTGCATCATGTATATGTACGGGGTGGTCGTTTTTAAAGGCAGAGCCACCCAAATACCAAAATGCCTGACAAAGCCACCTGGGGAGTTTCGCCCGCAGGAGATATTTAATTTACACCTCAGAACTAAGAAGGCTCTACAAGTTTGTGACTGACACAAGACAGAGACGTGGTTCAATTATAATGAAACAGTTTAATTCATTATGTCAATCACATGTATTTGTTTATTCTTGGTAAAAACACTTGATATAGAAAATGACTAAAATCAATGAGGGAAAAAGGGGAGTGGGCAGATGCCAGCCGGGGGAGGCAGTCTAACAGGGCTGTGTCCCACTTACCCACCGGTGCTCACTGCAAGCCAAAACTCACTGCAAACCAAAACTCACTACAAAGTGTCCCAGTGCTCCTATACAAGCCGTGAAGGGAATCAGACTGTGGGCCTAGCCTCCTCCACAGCTGGCTCCAACTCCACTACAAGGGGCAAAGAAACAACAAATGAGTATAAAGCAGAAGAAACAATTATCCAGTTGGTCCAAACGAGCAAACCGTAAAATACACTAAAACCCTAAATATGAGACAACAAAACTAAATTCAAACAAAACCTAACTATAGCAAAACAGCACCACCTAGTTGGAAGAACACATTGTACATTAGATTACAATACAAAAGTACACATTTAAATATTTTAACTTAGGTAATTGTAAACTTACCACTACTCAGTATGATGAATACTAAAGTACTAAGGACCAACACACATCCCTCCAGATTAACAGGACTGCAGGCATCACATTTGGCCAAAGGAACACCAGGTGGACCAGGATACAAGCTGACAGTAGGCTAATACAAATTAATGTAGTTCAGTGCTAGTATAAGATGCACATGAGTAATATTAAGCTGTTGATCAAACATGACATCCAGTATCTGACAATTTACCTATCCTAAGGCGCCATGTGGCAACAGGCAGACAGCAAACGAAACAAAGGCTGCCATGATGCCACAGGTGCCTTAAATACCAATGAGTTAATTAGGGGTTGGCTCTGGGGGAGGAGTTGACCTACTTTAGGTGATGGTGGGTTCAGGGCGTAGAGATGAGTGTGGGACAGTTACCTGAACCCGGCATTCCTGCTACATATATATCGTAAGCCGTCTATTTGTTCCATATCAACCGTCTTTTTTCATCAAATGGCTTGATAATACAATACAACGGAGAAACATATTTTTTTTATCGAGCTGTATTGAGGTCGCAGTCCTTGGTGCTGGGAGCGGAAAGAGTTATTTTAATCAATGTTTAAAGTCTGGGCAGCCTCCTCCTCTCTTTCAACACAATATAATACATATGCTATAACTAAAAACAAAATACCATTAACCATAATGTGTATTAAGTGCCTCACATTTCTGCAGTGAGAAAATGGGTCGCATGGTGTCAGTGAAAAGTAAAAATTCAGCAGTACACGAGCTTGTCGTCATAGCAGTTTGGTTCCTCCTCTTCAAAACATTTTACTTCGATACTGGCAGGACCGTTTTTCTGCTCATGCCTTGATACATGATCGGTTTAGCGCATTTTCTGGAAATACAGGAAGTGAATTAACAGGTTATACATGTAAGAAGGCGCTGGATTTTGACTTCACAACAGAGCTTTGTGTAGCTTGTAATGGATTACTGATGATTTCGGGTTTAACCATGGAACAAAGAACATGCGAGATGCGGAGGGCGCGAGGATGGTTTCTCCGCTGCATGGTTGCTGTGCTTTTGTGGAGCGCGGCCTCAGCGCAAATACGATATTCAATCTCGGAGGAAGTTAACGAAGGAACTGTGGTTGGAAATATAGCGAAAGATCTGGGATTAGATAAAAGCACATTGAAAGACAGGAAGTATCGGATTGTTTCCAGTAATGCGGATCCGCTTTTCCACGTGAATCAAAACGATGGTGTCCTGTATGTGAGCCGGAAGATTGACAGAGAGGAGGTGTGCGCGCAGAGCAATACGTGTTTAATGAATCTGAAAACCGTGCTGGAAAACCCACTGGAGGTGCATTATGTTGGTGTGGAAGTGATGGATATAAATGACCATTCTCCTAGTTTTTCAGAAAAAGAGAAACGGTTGGAAATATCTGAGTCTGTGTTGCCCGGAGCACGGATTCAACTAAAACCTTCACGGGATCCAGACAGTGGACATTTCTCCGTGCAGCAATATAAACTCAGCCAAAACGATCACTTCCGTTTGGAAGTTAAGGATAAGGGAGAAGATGGTAAAATACCAATATTGGTTGTACAAAAATCCTTGGATAGGGAAAGGGCAAAGAGCCACTCATTATTGTTGACTGCTATGGATGGAGGAAAACCTCCAAAATCTGGCACCATGAATATTGTAGTGAATGTTCTAGATGTAAATGATAATGCGCCTGTTTTCTCTAAAGATGTTTATTCTGTGATGCTCATTGAAAATGCTCCGGTAGGCACAACAGTCATACAAGTGAATGCAACTGATTTGGATGAAGGACCCAACAGAGATGTAGTTTACTCATTTACAAATAGTATGAATCTAAATATTTTAAACCTTTTTGATATCAATGCTTTAACAGGCGAGATAAAGGTAAAAGGATTAATAGATTATGAGGAGAAAGACAGATATGAAATTGAAATTGAGGCATCAGATAAAGGCCTTGCTCCTCTTATAACAGACAAAAGCGTCATCATTAAGATAGTAGACGTTAATGATAACGCACCTGAGATTGAAGTTACCTCATTTTCAAGCTCGATCCCTGAAGATTCAAGACCTGGAACTACAGTAGCCCTTATCAGTGTAAATGACTTGGACTCTGGTCTCAATGGAAAAGTGTTTTGCGCTGTAAATAACGATGTACAATTTACTTTATCCCCATCCTCAAAAGACAAAATGTTTTCATTGGTGACCAAATCCCCCCTGGATAGAGAGAAACAGTCACAATATGTCTTGACAGTAACTGCAAAAGATGCTGGTCAACCTCCATTATCATCTGAGAAGACAATACATGTAGTGGTTTCAGATGTGAATGACAACAGTCCAGAGTTTTCATTGAGTCCATATACTTTCTATATCACTGAAGCTAATGAGCCAGGCACCTCTGTGTTTTCTGTTAAAGCTCTTGATCGTGATGAGAACGATAATGCACGAATAAACTATCATATTCTCAGAGATGGCAGTGAAGGAAATAAATTGACGTCATTTTTAAATATCAACTCTGAAACTGGAGATATTTTGGCCCTAAAAAGCTTTGACTTTGAGACTCTGAAAACGTTCCAGTTCCAAGTTGTCGCCACAGATTCTGGAACTCCGTCACTAAGCAGCAACGTCACGGTGCACGTGTTCATTCTGGATCAGAACGACAACGCTCCAGTCATCCTGTATCCGGTCAGCTCTAACGGTTCTGCTGAAGGTGTGGAGGAGATTCCCCGCAATGTGAACGCAGGACACTTGGTGACTAAAGTCAGAGCCTATGACGCTGATATAGGATATAACGGCTGGTTACTGTTCTCACTGCAGGAAGTTACTGCCCACAGTCTCTTTGGTTTGGACCGCTATACAGGACGGATCAGAACACTTCGCTCATTCACAGAGACAGACGAGGCTGAGCATAAACTGCTCATACTGGTGAAAGACAATGGCAACGTTTCCCTGTCAGCAACAGCTACGGTGGTTGTTAAACTTGTGGAGCCCAGAGAGGCTTTTGCTGCTGCTGATGTTAAAAGTGCAACAAAGGATGATGAGGATAATAATGTGACTTTTTACCTGATGATAACTTTGGGCTCAGTCTCAACACTTTTTCTCATCAGTATCATTGTGCTGATTGCAATGCAGTGCTCTAAGTCCACAGACTATACTTCTAAATATCTACAAGAGACTAACTATGATGGGACACTGTGTCACAGCATCCAGTACAGATCTGGAGACAAGCGCTACATGTTAGTTGGACCCAGAATGAGTATAGGATCTACTATAGTCCCGGGCAGCCATGCCAACACACTGGTGCTTCCTGACAGGAGGGGAACATCTACAGAGGTAAGATTTTAAGAAATGTAATCATTTCTAAAATAATAGATGTGTTTTTAGATTTCCTCCAATTGAGACTGAGCTTCCAACTTCTGTTTGCAAAAGGTTCTATCTGGTGCAATATTCTCTCTTTGCTGCTCTCATTTGTAGATTGTTTTATACACACTAATAATAATAATAATAATAATACATTTGATTTCTAAGCGCTTTTTCAGGTGCTCAAAGACACTTTACAGTGATGATGAAAAGGATACAATAACATATAAAACACTATACTCTCACGAGTACAATGAACATGAGAACATGTTCTATAATAAAATCTAAATGGGGTCATAAATTGCAACTTTATTTTGGGAAAAGTGTGAAAAGAGCTATAACAGATCAAACATAAATATATTACAAATATAAAAAAATACTTACCTACACTGATATGCGTTAAGTTATTTGGATGGGTAGTCTTCATAATCATTCTAGAAAAATAAATGTTAATTAAAGAGACAGATATAGCCTGTAGTTCTGAAATACATTGACGTTACTGTTTTTAAGCAACAATAAGAGCAAATATTAAACATAAATTCATACCATTATTTATCATGTGTGGATGAGAAGAAAAAAACGTGTACTTGGATTTTCTGAGCATTTCGTACATTCTAGTGTGTTTTTGAACGAATTTGAAACGTTCCCCTCTTGGTGTCACTGTTACTCCAACAAGGCCACAAAGGACGTTGTCCCTCCCCTAAGAAGGCTTTTGTTTGGTACCTCACAGCAGAGGATACATCAGATGTAAGGGTGCAAGCTGGATGAGACGGCACTGTGAGTTTTCTAAACATGCGATGCTAAGCTGGTTGGATAGTCACGTTAATTCGCTGCAGAAACAGGCTTCTGTGTCCTGTTGGATAATGATGGGGAGTCCACGACGACATCGCTCAAGTGACAGTCGTTGGTTTCATTTTTATTTTTCTCTATTGCTGATTTTCGGGAAACATGCTGTGGCTGAATTGAGGTACTCTATTCCAGAGGAGATGAAAGAAGGGACTTCTGTTGGAAATGTTGCAAAGGATCTTGGTCTGGATAAAACCTCTTTGATTGATCGCCGATTTCGAGTTGTGTCTGGATCTAAAGATGCTTTTTTCGAGGTAAACCCGAACAGTGGTGCGTTACAGATTCTTAAAAAGATCGACAGAGAGGAGCTGTGTCAGGGGAGCGGTGTATGCACAATGGAGTTGAAGATCCTTGTTGAAAACCCTTTGGAAATGCACCATGTTGTTGTAGAAATTACTGATATAAATGATCACTCTCCTAGTTTTTCTGAAAATGAACAGCAATTTAAAATAGCAGAACATACATCTCCGGGAACCCGTTTCGATCTGCACGCGGCCCGTGATCCTGATGCTGGAATTAACTCCATCCGCACATATACATTAACGTCAAACGATCACTTTGAAATAGATGTTAGTCAAAGCGATGAGGATAAAACGCCGTATTTAGTGCTGAAGAAGTCCTTAGACAGAGAACAAAAGAGCAAGCATGTGCTTTTTGTAACAGCAGTTGATGGCGGTAAACCTCAAAGATCAGGCACACTAAATGTTTCTATAATTGTTCTTGACACTAACGATAACCGTCCAGTGTTTAGTCAGGATACCTATCAAGTAGAAATATATGAGAACGTTCCAGTCGGTACTATTGTTACAAGAGTGAATGCAACAGATACAGATGAAGGGAATAATGGAGAAATAGAGTTTACTCTCAGCAAAACTTTAGCGCGAAAAGTTTATGACATATTTGAATTGAATAGAGTAAGTGGAGAAATTAAATTGAAAGGTGCGGTGGATTTTGAAGAAACGGAGATTTACAAAATCGATGTTCAAGCATCTGACAAAGGAACGCCTCCATTAACAAGCCGCTGTAGAGTCATTATAAAAGTAAAAGACGTCAATGATAATCCACCAGAAATAGAAGTCACATCACTGTCTAATACTGTGTCTGAAGACTCAAAGCCTGGCACAGTGATTTCCCTTATTAGTGTTACAGATAAGGACTCCGGTGTCAACGGAAAAATAATATCAAGCATAACTTCAGACGTTCCTTTCGAGTTAAAGCCCTCTTATAAAGAGAACATTTATTCAGTTGTCACAAAAGGATTTTTAGACCGAGAGCAGGTGTCGCATTACGAAATAACAATAAAAGCCACCGATTGTGGGGAACCTCTCTTATCTACTTTCAAAATCCTCAACATTCAGATATCAGATGTAAACGACAACATACCATTATTCTCTCTAAATACATTACAGTTTTACCTTTCAGAAAATAACGTTGCTGGAGGGTCGATATTCTCTGTAAGTGCAACGGACAAAGATGTAAATGAAAACGCAGTACTTTCTTATCAAATAGCGAGAGGAAATGAACTGGCAATGTTTCTCAGTGTAAATTCAGATAACGGAGAGATTTCAGCGCTAAAAAGCTTTGACTTTGAGACTCTGAAAACGTTCCAGTTCCAAGTTGTCGCCACAGATTCTGGAACTCCGTCACTAAGCAGCAACGTCACGGTGCACGTGTTCATTCTGGATCAGAACGACAACGCTCCAGTCATCCTGTATCCGGTCAGCTCTAACGGTTCTGCTGAAGGTGTGGAGGAGATTCCCCGCAATGTGAACGCAGGACACTTGGTGACTAAAGTCAGAGCCTATGACGCTGATATAGGATATAACGGCTGGTTACTGTTCTCACTGCAGGAAGTTACTGCCCACAGTCTCTTTGGTTTGGACCGCTATACAGGACAGATCAGAACACTTCGCTCATTCACAGAGACAGACGAGGCTGAGCATAAACTGCTCATACTGGTGAAAGACAATGGCAACGTTTCCCTGTCAGCAACAGCTACTGTGGTTGTTAAACTTGTGGAGCCCAGAGAGGCTTTTGCTGCTGCTGATGTTAAAAGTGCAACAAAGGATGATGAGGATAATAATGTGACTTTTTACCTGATGATAACTTTGGGCTCAGTCTCAACACTTTTTCTCATCAGCATCATCGTGCTGATTGCAATGCAGTGCTCTAAGTCCACAGACTATACTTCTAAATATCTACAAGAGACTAACTATGATGGGACACTGTGTCACAGCATCCAGTACAGATCTGGAGACAAGCGCTACATGTTAGTTGGACCCAGAATGAGTATAGGATCTACTATAGTCCCGGGCAGCCATGCCAACACACTGGTGCTTCCTGACAGGAGGGGGACATCTACAGAGGTAAGAAAAGTGTTTTTGGATGTTTTGATTTTCACATCCCCTGCATACTTAATACTATGTGTGAAAGCCCCCCTCTAAAGCGGAAATACATTACATTACACTGCAAATAGCAATAATTAAATAGCAGAGAAGTGATACATTACTCACGATCAGCAGGTATACATTGTGATTAGTTTACAATTGTGTGTACTACAACTTAGATTGAGAGCAGAGTCTTCATTCTGTTTTTGTTTTTCAACTGCTATGTGATTTGTAATCTATGATGTGTTATGGTGCTTGCAACTTGTGTGCTTCACTACGTGTTGACAGCTGCAGTTCATGAGCTTTAGTAACATCCTGGAATAGATGAGATGTAAATAAAAGGATCGTGGTTGATTCCACTAAGCTTATCCCCACTGTTAAACAGATACGTTTATGTCTCACATCACTTCTGGTCATTTGAAGATTATATTTCATGTGTTAACTTGACACTAACATATTATAATAATAACGATTCTAACGCTTGGTGTCAGTGTAGCTCAGTGTTTCTGTGACTGGCAGCACTTTACGGCACGAGCTGTATGCGGATCGAGTCCTTGCATTTTGCAGAGCATACTTGAGCGAATAAGATCGCAATTGCCACCAACGAGTGTTTAATTTTCAACCGTTTTTGTAAAAGCAGACGTTGGATGTTGTGAAGAAAGATGGCGGATTAAGTTTCATTTATTTCAAGACGTAGTTAATGGACTGTTCTTTATCGCCCATACGAGCCATGGAACAAAGAGGACGCAAATCACGGACCCCGCGCCAATTTTGGTTTGCCTTGATGGTTGTTTTGGATATTTTATGGAGAGGAGCTACAGCACAGATCAGATATTCAATATCTGAGGAGGTTCAAGATGGAACCGTGGTCGGGAATATAGCGAAGGATTTGGGGCTCGATAAGAGTGCACTCAAAGACAGAGGGTATCGCATTGTAACAGGCTCAACTGAGCCCCTGTTTCAAGTTAATCAAAATGATGGAATATTGTATGTTAAAAAAAGAATAGATAGGGAGGAGGTGTGCGACCGGACCAGCCCGTGTTTGATCAACCTAAAAACTGTGCTAGAAAACCCGCTGGAGATCCACTACGTGGCGGTGGAAATACTAGATATAAATGACCACTCGCCTGTTTTTACGGAGAAAGAGAAACGGCTTGAGATATCTGAGTCGGCTTTACCAGGGGCGAGATTTCAACTACAGGCTGCGCGTGACCCCGACGTTGGCCAGTTATCCATTCAGCAATATCGACTCAGCCTTAACGAGCATTTTAGATTAGAAGTGAAGGATAGAGGCGAAGACCTTAAAGTTCCATTTTTAGTCCTGCAGAAACAGCTAGATAGAGAAACAGCCGGGAAACACAAACTGCGTCTTACAGCAGTGGATGGAGGAAAACCTGCACAATCTGGCGCTATAGAAATTACTGTGGATGTGCTTGATGTTAATGACAACTCCCCTGTGTTTACAAAAGAGGTTTATTCTGCAACACTAAAAGAAAATGTTCCCGTTGACACTGTAGTCATTCAGTTAAATGCAACAGATTTGGACAAGGGTGCAAATAGCGAAATAATATATTCATTTGGTAACGAAGTTGATGCAAAATTAAAGGATATCTTTAAAATAGACGCAAACACTGGTGAAATTAAAGTCATCGGTAAGATAGACTTCGAGAAAAGTAAAAGTTATGAAATTGACATTCAGGCGTCCGATAAAGGACAAGTTCCTCTAACAACTGACAAAAGTGTTATGATAACAGTTATTGATGTTAACGACAATGCACCTGAGATAGAAGTAACATCATTTTCTAGCTCTATCAAGGAGGATTCAAAGATAGGAACTACTGTAGCCCTAATTAGTGTTAGGGATTTAGACTCCGGAATCAATGGAAAAGTCATTTGCACCATCAAAGAGGATGTTCCTTTTATTTTATCTCCATCGTTACAGGAAAATATGTACGCTGTTGTAACCAGGTCTCAACTGGATAGGGAAATGGTTGCCCACTTTGAATTTACAATTGTCGCTAAAGACACAGGTGATCCGTCCTATTCAACTGAAAAGACCATGAGTGTTGTAGTATCAGATGTAAATGACAACAATCCAGAGTTTTTAACAAGTCCCTATGTATTTTATATCACCGAGAATAACAGTCCTGGAGCCTCAGTATTTTCAGTTAGAGCTTCTGATCGTGATGAAAGCGATAACGCTGTCATTTCATATCATATTCTCAGAGATGACAGAGAAGCAAATAAATTGACCTCATATTTAAATATCAACTCTGAAACTGGAGATATTTTGGCGCTAAAAAGCTTTGACTTTGAGACTCTGAAAACGTTCCAGTTCCAAGTTGTCGCCACAGATTCTGGAACTCCGTCACTAAGCAGCAACCTCACAGTGCACGTGTTCATTCTGGATCAGAACGACAACGCTCCAGTCATCCTGTATCCGGTCAGCTCTAACGGTTCTGCTGAAGGTGTGGAGGAGATTCCCCGCAATGTGAACGCAGGACACTTGGTGACTAAAGTCAGAGCCTATGACGCTGATATAGGATATAACGGCTGGTTACTGTTCTCACTGCAGGAAGTTACTGCCCACAGTCTCTTTGGTTTGGACCGCTATACAGGACGGATCAGAACACTTCGCTCATTCACAGAGACAGACGAGGCTGAGCATAAACTGCTCATACTGGTGAAAGACAATGGCAACGTTTCCCTGTCAGCAACAGCTACTGTGGTTGTTAAACTTGTGGAGCCCAGAGAGGCTTTTCTGCTGCTGATGTTAAAAGTGCAACAAAGGATGATGAGGATAATAATGTGACTTTTTACCTGATGATAACTTTGGGCTCAGTCTCAACACTTTTTCTCATCAGCATCATCGTGCTGATTGCAATGCAGTGCTCTAAGTCCACAGACTATACTTCTAAATATCTACAAGAGACTAACTATGATGGGACACTGTGTCACAGCATCCAGTACAGATCTGGAGACAAGCGCTACATGTTAGTTGGACCCAGAATGAGTATAGGATCTACTATAGTCCCGGGCAGCCATGCCAACACACTGGTGCTTCCTGACAGGAGGGGGACATCTACAGAGGTAAGATAAATGTTTTTGGATGTTTTGATTTTCACATCCCCTGCATACTTAATACTATGTGTGAAAGCCCCCCTCTAAAGCGGAAATACATTACATTACACTGCAAATAGCAATAATTAAATAGCAGAGAAGTGATACATTACTCACGATCAGCAGGTATACATTGTGATTAGTTTACAATTGTGTGTACTCCAACTTAGATTGAGAGCAGAGTCTTCATTCTGTTTTTGTTTTTCAACTGCTATGTGATTTGTAATCTATGATGTGTTATGGTGCTTGCAACTTGTGTGCTTCACTACGTGTTGACAGCTGCAGTTCATGAGCTTTAGTAACATCCTGGAATAGATGAGATGTAAATAAAAGGATCGTGGTTGATTCCACTAAGCTTATCCCCACTGTTAAACAGATACGTTTATGTCTCACATCACTTCTGGTCATTTGAAGATTATATTTCATGTGTTAACTTGACACTAACATATTATAATAATAATAACGATTCTAACGCTTGGTGTCAGTGTAGCTCAGTGTTTCTGTGACTGGCAGCACTTTACGTCACGAGCTGTTTGTGGATCGAGTCCTTGCATTTTGCAGAGCATACTTGAGCGAATAAGATCGCAATTGCCACCAACGAGTGTTTAATATTCGACCGTTTTTGTAAAAGCAGACGTTGGATGTTGTGAAGAAAGATGGCAGATTAAGTTTCATTTATTTCAAAACGTAGTTAGTGGACTGTTCTTTATCGCCCATACGAGCCATGGAACAAAGAGGACGCAAATCACGGACCCCGCGACAATTTTGGTTTGCCTTGATGGTTGTTTTGGATATTTTATGGAGAGGAGCTACAGCACAGATCAGATATTCAATATCTGAGGAGGTTCAAGATGGAACCGTGGTCGGGAATATAGCGAAGGATTTGGGGCTCGATAAGAGTGCACTCAAAGACAGAGGGTATCGCATTGTAACAGGCTCAACTGAGCCCCTGTTTCAAGTTAATCAAAATGATGGAATATTGTATGTTAAAAAAAGAATAGATAGGGAGGAGGTGTGCGACCGGACCAGCCCGTGTTTGATCAACCTAAAAACTGTGCTAGAAAACCCGCTGGAGATCCACTACGTGGCGGTGGAAATACTAGATATAAATGACCACTCGCCTGTTTTTACGGAGAAAGAGAAACGGCTTGAGATCTCTGAGTCGGCTTTACCAGGGGCGAGATTTCAACTACAGGCTGCGCGTGACCCCGACGTTGGCCAGTTATCCATTCAGCAATATCGACTCAGCCTTAACGAGCATTTTAGATTAGAAGTGAAGGATAGAGGCGAAGACCTTAAAGTTCCATTTTTAGTCCTGCAGAAACAGCTAGATAGAGAAACAGCCGGGAAACACAAACTGCGTCTTACAGCAGTGGATGGAGGAAAACCTGCGAAATCTGGCGCTATAGAAATTACTGTGGATGTGCTTGATGTTAATGACAACTCCCCTGTGTTTACAAAAGAGTTGTATTCTGCAACACTAAAAGAAAATGTTTCCGTTGACACTGTAGTCATTCAGTTAAATGCAACAGATCTGGACCAGAGTGCAAATAGCGAAATAATATATTCATTTGGTAACGAAGTTGATGCAAAATTAAAGGATATCTTTAAAATAGACGCAAACACTGGTGAAATTAAAGTCATCGGTAAGATAGACTTCGAGAAAAGTAAAAGTTATGAAATTGACATTCAAGCGTCCGATAAAGGACCAGTTCCTCTAACAACTGACAAAAGTGTTATGATAACAGTTATTGATGTTAACGATAATGCACCTGAGATAGAAGTAACATCATTTTCTAGCACTATCAAGGAGGATTCAAAGAAGGGAACTACTGTAGCCCTGATTAGTGTTCGGGATTTAGACTCTGGAATCAATGGAAAAGTCATTTGCACCATCAAAGAGGATGTTCCTTTTACTTTATCTCCATCGTTACAGGAAAACATGTACGCTGTTGTAACCAGGTCTCAACTGGATAGGGAAATGGTTGCCCACTTTGAATTTACAATTATCGCTAAAGACACAGGTGATCCGTCCTATTCAACTGAAAAGACCATGAATGTCGTAGTATCAGATGTAAATGACAACAATCCAGAGTTTTTAACAAGCCCCTATGTATTTTATATCACAGAGAATAACAGTCCCGGAGCCTCAGTATTTTCAGTTAGAGCTTCTGATCGTGATGAAAGCGATAACGCTGTCATTTCATATCATATTCTCAGAGATGGCAGAGAAGCAAATACATTGACCTCATTTCTAAACATCAACTCTGAAACTGGAGATATTTCGGCGCTAAAAAGCTTTGACTTTGAGACTCTGAAAACGTTCCAGTTCCAAGTTGTTGCCACAGATTCTGGAACTCCGTCACTAAGCAGCAACGTCACAGTGCACGTGTTCATTCTGGATCAGAACGACAACGCTCCAGTCATCCTGTATCCGGTCAGCTCTAACGGTTCTGCTGAAGGTGTGGAGGAGATTCCCCGCAATGTGAACGCAGGACACTTGGTGACTAAAGTCAGAGCCTATGACGCTGATATAGGATATAACGGCTGGTTACTGTTCTCACTGCAGGAAGTTACTGCCCACAGTCTCTTTGGTTTGGACCGCTATACAGGACAGATCAGAACACTTCGCTCATTCACAGAGACAGACGAGGCTGAGCATAAACTGCTCATACTGGTGAAAGACAATGGCAACGTGTCCCTGTCAGCAACAGCTACTGTGGTTGTTAAACTTGTGGAGCCCAGAGAGGCTTTTGCTGCTGCTGATGTTAAAAGTGCAACAAAGGATGATGAGGATAATAATGTGACTTTTTACCTGATGATAACTTTGGGCTCAGTCTCAACACTTTTTCTCATCAGTATCATCGTGCTGATTGCAATGCAGTGCTCTAAGTCCACAGACTATACTTCTAAATATCTACAAGAGACTAACTATGATGGGACACTGTGTCACAGCATCCAGTACAGATCTGGAGACAAGCGCTACATGTTAGTTGGACCCAGAATGAGTATAGGATCTACTATAGTCCCGGGCAGCCATGCCAACACACTGGTGCTCCCTGACAGGAGGGGGACATCTACAGAGGTAAGACAAATGCATATTCAAAATCCCTTACCTTTCTTACTGTCATGGCAATATGAATACTTACATTCAAACAGGTTGATGTCAAATAATTGGTGCATCTTGTCTTACATTAAAATGTAAACACTTTTATTAATAGAAACATGATCTGCCCTTGAGGTCTATGCATTATATCTGCCTGAAATCCCATGTTTTACATACTTCATCTGTGTTGTTGGATAGTTGGTTTTGTACAGTTTATATTATTGCAGTTAGTCAAAGCGAAATCAGTTCCTACACCTCTGGGTGCAGAAAAAGGTGTTGCTGTCTGTGGTGCTGTAAGGCAAGGCAAGTTTATTTATATAGCACTTTTCAACACAAGGCAATTCAAAGTGCTTTACAAAAAATGAAAGACATTAAGAAAATGTCATTAAAAAGAAAAGCTAATAAAATAAACAATAAAAGAAAAAGTATACTGGATAAAAGTTAAAGTGCAGTTTAAGATATGAATAGTTCAATTAAAAGCAGTGGCAACAAGAAAAGTCTTCAGCCTGGATTTAAAAGTAGTAAGAGTTGCAGCGGACCTGCAGGTTTCTGGGAGTTTGTTCCAAATATTTGGAGCATAATAACTGAACGCTGCTTCTCCATGTTTAGTTCTGACTCTGGGGACAGAAAGCTGACCAGTCCCTGAAGTATTTTACTATAGTTTCCCATTTCTTTTGGCATAGAAATAAGGACTTCATTGCAGTTTACATTCATCAAAATAGTTTAAGAGACAGATGATTGTGACTCTAGTGTAGTAACTTGTTAACTACAAATACCTAGTGATTCTTGACAGGAGGAGGGCATCTGCAGAAGTAAGACATATTTTAGATTAAACTGTGGTGACGAACTGTAACTGCTTTTTGACTAAACATATCAATGTGGTTTGTTTTCTGCATAATTTGATACTGTGTTTGTCATCATAGTTTACCTTGGTAATTATAACCATATGTCATGGAGGTAATTTAAGTGTACTTGAAAAAGGAGATGCATTTTACTTTTAAATTATCGTAGTCACCTCATGGGCAATGATATGGACAATGACTGTGGCCTTTTGTTTTTTGCATCATGTATATGTGCGGGGTGGTCGTTTTTAAAAGGTAGAGCCACCCAAATACCAAAATGCCTGACAACGCCACCTGGGGAGTTTCGCCCGCAGGAGATATTTAATTTACACCTCAGCACTAAGAAGGCTCTTCAAGTTTGTGACTGACACAAGACAGAGACGTGGTTCAATTATAATGAAACCGTTTTAACAGTTTATTTGATTATATCAATCACATGTATTTGTTTATTCTTGGTAAAAACACTTGATATAGAAAATGACTAAAATCAATGAGGGAAAAAGGGGAGTGGGCAGATGCCAGCCAGGGGGAGGCAGTCTAACAGGGCTGTGTCCCACTTACCCACCGGTGCTCACTGAAAACCAAAACTCACTACAAAGTGTCCCAGTGCTCTTATCACTACAAGCCGTGAAGGGAATCAGACTGTGGGCCTAGCCTCCTCCACAGCTGGCTCCAACTCCACTACAAGGGGCAAAGAAACAACAAATGAGTATAAAGCAGAAGAAACAAGTATCCAGTTGGTCCAAACGAGCACACAGTAAAACACACTAAAACTAAATTCCAACAAAGCCTAATTCAAGTGAAACCTAAAAACAGCAGCTGCACCACCTAGTAGGAAGAACACATTGTACATTAGATTACAATACAGAAGTACACATTTAAATATTTTAACTTAGGTAATTGTAAACTTACCACTACTCAGTATGATTAATACTAAAGTACTGAGGACCAACACACATCCCTCCAGGTTAACAGGACTGCAGGCATCACATTTGGCCAAAGGAACACCAGGTGGACCAGGATACAAGCTGACAGTAGGTTAATACAAATTAATGTAGTTCAGTGCTAATATAAGATGCACATGAGTAATATTAAGCTGTTGATCAAACATGACATCCAGTATCTGACCATTTACCTATCCTAAGGCGCCATGTGGCAACAGATAGACAGCAAACGAAACAAAGGCTGCCATGATGCCACAGGTGCCTTAAATACCAATGAGTTAATTAGGGGTTGGCTCTGGGGGAGGAGTTTACCTACTTTAGGTGATGGTGAGTTCAGGGCGTAGAGATGAGTGTGGGACAGTTACCTGAACCCAGTGTTCCTGCTACATATATATCGTAAGCCGTCTATTTGTTCCCTATCAACCGTCTTTTTTCATCAAATGGCTTGATAATACAATACAACGGAGAAACATATTTTTTTTATCGAGCTGTATTGAGGTCGCTGTCCTTGGTGCTGGGAGCGGAAAGAGTTATTTTAGTCAATGTTTAAAGTCTGGGCAGCCTCCTCCTCTCTTTCAACACAATATAATACATATGCTATAACTAAAGATAACATACCATTGACCATAATGTGTATTACATGCCTCACATTTCTGCAGTGAGAAAAGGGGTCGCATGGTGTCAGTGAAAACTAAAAATTCAGCAGTACACGAGCTTGTCGTCATAGCAGTTTGGTTCCTCCTCTTCAAAACATTTTACTTCGAAACTGGCAGGACCGTTTTTCTGCTCATGCCTTGATACATGATCGGTTTAGCGCATTTTTTGGAAATACAGGAAGTGAATTAACAGGTTATACATGTAAGAAGGCGCTGGATTTTGACTTCACAACAGAGCTTTGTGTAGCTTGTAATGGATTACTGATGATTTCGGGTTTAACCATGGAACAAAGAACATGCGAGATGCGGAGGGCGCGAGGATGGTTTCTCTGCTGCGTGGTTGCTGTGCTTTTGTGGAGCGCGGCCTCAGCGCAAATACGATATTCAATCTCGGAGGAAGTTAACGAAGGAACTGTGGTTGGAAATATAGCAAAAGATCTGGGATTAGATAAAAGCACACTGAAAGACAGGAAGTATCGGATTGTTTCCAGTAATGCGGATCCGCTTTTCCACGTGAATCAAAACGATGGTGTCCTGTATGTGAGCCGGAAGATTGACAGAGAGGAGGTGTGTGCGCAGAGCAGTACGTGTTTAATGAATCTGAAAACTGTGCTGGAAAACCCACTGGAGGTGCATTATGTTGTTGTGGAAGTGCTGGATATCAATGACCATTCTCCTAGTTTTTCAGAAAAAGGGAAACGGTTGGAAATATCTGAGTCTGTGCTGCCCGGAGCAAGATTTCAACTAAAACCTTCACGGGATCCAGACAGTGGACATTTCTCCGTGCAGCAATATAAACTCAGCCAAAACGATCACTTCCGTTTGGAAGTTAAGGATAAGGGAGAAGATGGTAAAATACCAATATTGGTTGTACAAAAATCCTTGGATAGGGAAAGGGCAAAGAGCCACTCATTATTGTTGACTGCTATGGATGGAGGAAAACCTCCAAAATCTGGCACCATGAATATTGTAGTGAATGTTCTAGATGTAAATGATAATGCGCCCGTTTTCTCTAAAGATGTTTATTCTGTGATGCTCATTGAAAATGCTCCGGTAGGCACAACAGTCATACAAGTGAATGCAACTGATTTGGATCAAGGACCCAATGGAGATGTAGTTTACTCATTGAGCAACAGTATGAATCTAAATATTTTAAACCTTTTTGATATCAATGCTTTAACAGGCGAGATAAAGGTAAAAGGATTAATAGATTATGAGGAGAAAGACAGATATGAAATTGAAATTGAGGCATCAGATAAAGGCCTTGCTCCTTTTATAACAGACAAAAGCGTCATCATTAAGATATTAGACGTTAATGATAACGCACCTGAGATTGAAGTTACTTCATTTTCAAGCTCGATCCCTGAAGATTCAAGACCTGGAACTACAGTAGCTCTTATCAGTGTAAATGACTTGGACTCCGGTCTCAATGGAAAAGTGTTTTGCTCTGTAAATAACGATGTACAATTTACTTTATCCCCATCCTCAAAAGACAACATGTTTTCATTGGTGACCAAATCCCCCCTGGATAGAGAGAAACAGTCACAATATGTATTGACAATAACTGCAAAAGATGCTGGTCAACCTCCATTATCATCTGAGAAGACAATACATGTAGTGGTTTCAGATGTGAATGACAACAGTCCAGAGTTTTCATTGAGTCCATATACTTTCTATATCACTGAAGCAAATGAGCCAGGCACCTCTGTGTTTTCTGTTAAAGCTCTTGATCGTGATGAGAACGATAATGCACTAATAACCTATCATATTCTCAGAGATAGCAGTGAAGGAAACAAATTGACGTCATTTTTAAATATCAACTCTGAAACTGGAGATATTTCGGCGCTAAAAAGCTTTGACTTTGAGACTCTGAAAACGTTCCAGTTCCAAGTTGTCGCCACAGATTCTGGAACTCCGTCACTAAGCAGCAACGTCACAGTGCACGTGTTCATTCTGGATCAGAACGACAACGCTCCAGTCATCCTGTATCCGGTCAGCTCTAACGGTTCTGCTGAAGGTGTGGAGGAGATTCCCCGCAATGTGAACGCAGGACACTTGGTGACTAAAGTCAGAGCCTATGACGCTGATATAGGATATAACGGCTGGTTACTGTTCTCACTGCAGGAAGTTACTGCCCACAGTCTCTTTGGTTTGGACCGCTATACAGGACAGATCAGAACACTTCGCTCATTCACAGAGACAGACGAGGCTGAGCATAAACTGCTCATACTGGTGAAAGACAATGGCAACGTTTCCCTGTCAGCAACAGCTACTGTGGTTGTTAAACTTGTGGAGCCCAGAGAGGCTTTTGCTGCTGCTGATGTTAAAAGTGCAACAAAGGATGATGAGGATAATAATGTGACTTTTTACCTGATGATAACTTTGGGCTCAGTCTCAACACTTTTTCTCATCAGCATCATCGTGCTGATTGCAATGCAGTGCTCTAAGTCCACAGACTGTACTTCTAAATATCTACAAGAGACTAACTATGATGGGACACTGTGTCACAGCATCCAGTACAGATCTGGAGACAAGCGCTACATGTTAGTTGGACCCAGAATGAGTATAGGATCTACTATAGTCCCGGGCAGCCATGCCAACACACTAGTGCTCCCTGACAGAAGGGGAACATCTACAGAGGTAAGACGAATGCATAT